CAGGGCACACGCGTGTGGACGCCCCCCCCCCCCCCTGGCTCACACTGTGCGAGCGCCTGCAGCAGCACAAACGCGCCCGCGGCCCTGGCGGCGCGGCCCTGGGTGAAGCTGAAGACCAGGATCTCGGAAGCCGCGGAGCCACAGGAGATGTAGCCGAAAGCACCCAGGGCAAAGTACAGGACAGACATTATGGAGGTGCAAGCTGTGTTTTTGGGAGGGGGGGTAAGGGCACAGGTGGGGAGGGGTTTGGGGTGAGAGTGCAAAGGGAGGATCTTGAGAATTTGGGGAGGGTTTTGGGGAAGGTTTGGGGGAGGGTTTTGGGGAGTGCGGGTAAGGGGGGCTGGTGGGGGTGAAGGAAAGGGTGAAGGTGAGGGCGAGGGTGACAGTGAGAGCGGATGATGTTTGGGGTGATGGAGGTGCAAGCTTGGGACGCATGCGTGCGGGGCTGTTGATAGGAGCGGGGCAACACCCGCAGGTGGGGGCATTTGTCCGCGAGGAAATAGGTAAATCGGGGCGCCGGTTGCCACAAGGCCCAATTTTTGTGATGCGTGGTCTTGAGGGGGGGCTGAGAGCAGGGCAGACCGCGGCCACAGGGCCCGCGGGTGCAGCAGCTGAGACAGACAGCGCGGCCCAAGGCGTGAAGGAGCGGCGAGCCCCCCGTTTTGCAAGTCACCCTGGCAGGGCCCCGTACATGAACCATCAAAACATGCAGGCGCTGCGAGGTGAGCCCCAGGGCTGCAGCTGCAGGCACATGGGTCCAACCGCGCGCACCTGTGACAGCCACGGGGAACCCCGAGGGGCGGGCCATCGATGTCAGGAGCTCTACAAATGCAAACTGGGGTCAGGAAAAAGGGGGCCACGATGGGATGGGCAAGGCGGGATGTGAACGGCCGAGGTTCCAACCTTCTCAGATCGGGAGTTGGTCAGGATTGCTCATACAAGGACACGGCTCACAAGAGAGGGAAACTGCTAGCAAAAAAAGTGGATGGCTGCACGTGTCGACGAGCCCGCACCCACCTGGCCGCCGTAGGCTGCATTGAGATGATGCACACGGGCGAAGGAGGGGGGGGCGAGGCAAAATGGCGTCATCATGATGTCATTCAAGACGGGTCGAACGAGAGGACTGGTTGGCAATCAAGACATCAAGGGTGCAAACATGCAGACCGGCCGGGCTGAACACCACGATGTGACATCGGAAGCCTCCACGCCTCCACGCCCAAAAGCATTTGTTGCACTGTGCAACATTGCAAATCCACGGCGCCCGGTCCCTCAAAAAACAGGGCTCGCACCCACTCACCAAAAATGATGTTGAAGCCGGCGACCAATTGGTCGTCCAGGCCCACCCCGCCGCCGCCCCCGGCCCTCAGCCCCACCGGCCACACCACCAGGGCGCGCTGGGGGGTGGGGTAGGGGTGGGCCACCATCTCGTAGCACACAACGCCAATCGCGGCGAGCTGTCACGGGGGGGCGTTTGAAATTGAATGCGGGGCGGCAGGTTGGTCAGAGCTGTGTGAGAGGGTGTCAATGCAGGGGATTGCTAAGAGTGGCGTTTGGTGGGCTCGCAAGCACCCCCCGATGGTTGGTGCAATGTGCGACGCGTGATTGTAGGTGTGTATGCTTGTATGCAAGGGAGCACTGCACAGCACAAAAGCAATAGCAGGGCATGCCATTGGCGCCGCCGAGGGCGACGCGTCCACCTGCGCCGCCGTGCCCAGAGCGAAGAACCAGCTGAGCCGCGGCAGGGAGCGGACCTGAGGGATTTGTGTAAACGACATTGCGTGGAGGGCGGCGGCGAGGAGCCCTGCATACTCAAAAACTGAATCGGCATGGGGGAGATGGCAAGCCGCGCACCCCCTGCTGTGCCGCCATCCATCCATCCCACCTCAGCCACCGCCGCGACCACCGGCGCCAGCCGAACAGCCGGGCGCCGGATTGCCACCGCTATACGGGGGTTTAAAATGCCAGCAGCAATCCCAGCCGAGCCGGCGGCAGCGGTCGCAGCGACCCTGCCCCCCTGGCACGCGCCTGCGACAGCACCAGCACCAGCGCGAGCACCGCCCCACCGCACTTCCAGAGCGGCGGCGCGAGCGCGGGGCCGAGCGCGTGGCGGAGGCTCTGGGTGGCGGCCAGGTGCAGTATGACGCAGCGGGTGGCGTCGAGGGCGTACACAATGGCATAAACCAGGGCCCTGCCCAGGGGGCCGGCTGCCTTCTGCCCGATGTCCCCAAATAGGACTGGTGCAGGGGGTGAGGGCGTGGTGCGGGGGCTGTGAGGGGGGCAACGGAGGGGTGGTTGTGGGGGAAGGGCGGCGGAGAGCACCGGGGCCGAAATGTGGGGTGCGGAGAGCAGCCCCCGGCCTGGGCGCGCCGACGGCGCGTGGGTTGCGTCGCTGCAGCAAACCAGCTGCATCTTGTCT